ACACATACATACATTTATACGTTAAAAAAAGAGAATACATTGAAAACTTGCTTTATGTAAAAGCCAAAAAGTCAACATAAAAAAAACAGCAAGCAGGGCTGGAGTTGTGGCTCAGGGGTAGAGTGGTCGCCTAGCACATGCAAGGCCCTCTGTTCAATCCTTAGCACCACATAAAAATAAACAAAATAAAGTTGTTTTTTTTTTTAAAGCTCATATCCTGAAAAAAAAATAGCAAGCAGATTTAAGAATACAGCTTCTCAAAATAAAATCTATGGTCATTGAAACTGGAAGCTAAACACGGTCAAGGATTAGTGTTATGGAAGCCAGGACTGTGAAAGTCACTCAGAATGCAGCACATTCAGGAAAAAATTTCACAGGACGGAGAGGAAAGTAGCTATCAACACAGAATTCTCCACTTGCTCAAATATCATTCAAGAATAACAGTGACGTTAGACAATCCAAAGCAAGATGGAGGGGGTTTGCCATTAACAGAAACTGAGAAAATTTCTAAAGGATGTACTTTCAGGAGGAAGAAAATTGAACCCAGAAGGAAAGAATGAGGTGTAAGAAAGAATACGGAGTAACAAAATTGATTATGTGAAAAATCTGAGTATTCCCTGTTAGTGAGAATAATAACAAGAATGATTTAGAGGTAAGAGCAACATGGTGACAAACCTACATAATGGAGTTTGGTATTCTAAATTCTTTACATGGAAAAATAAACTGACACTAATTGATTCTGGGCCTTGTTAATGATGCTTTTTGAAGATTTAAGTGTGATTATGAAAATGACAGAGAATGTATAACTTCTAAACCACTGGGAGATGAGGGAAAGGGGAATTAAAAAAAAAACCTGATCATTTCAGTGGAGGGCAGAAAGGAGAAAAAAGTAGCATACAGAAAAAAGGAAGAACAGCACAAAATTGATAATAAGAATTAGTTAAGACGTATCAAACACAGGAACCCACGATTGTAGCTGTAAACCTCCTCACCTTGTGTACCTAAGAACATGAAGACAAAGGAGAAGGAAGGAAAGAGATTGGGGGCCCATACTCATGGAAACAGGCACTGCAGCTGCACTAACATTGAAAAAGTACAACCAAAGCATGAAGCATTATTGGATAGAGTGGCTGAGCCATGATAAAAGGAAAAACTTGTCAGGAAACAAAAATAATTCTTGTTTTTTGTGGAGGTACCTGGGATTGAATTCAGGAGCACTTGACCACTGAACCACATCCCCAGTCCTATTTTGTATTTTATTTAGAGACAGGGTCTCACTGAGATGCTTAGCAGCCTCACTTTTGCTGAGGCTAGATTTGAACTTGTGATCCTCCTGCCTCCCGAGCCACTGGAATTACAGGTGGGTGCCACTGCGCCTGGCAGGAAAATAAAATATTTCTAATCCTAAGAATGTTTATTACAAGGTCCCCAAATATACAAAACCAACATGGCAAAGTTCCAAGGAGAAATGGGTAAAGCCACCACCCCAACAGAGATGTGTTCTGAGACAGGTCTCACTGTGCTGCCCAGCCTGGTTTTGCTATCCTGAGCTCAAGCAGTCTTCCTGCTTCAGCCTTGCAAGTAGCTGCAACCACAGGGTAGGACAGGAATCTTAACACTCCTTTCTCAGCAATTTATGAATGAAGAAGACAAAATATTAGTTAGGTATAGAATATTTGAGTAACATAACTAAGGACCTTAGTCTAATAGATACTATATATTTCTGAATACATATACACACCGTATATATGAATTAATGAGTGCAAGGACATGTACTTGCATCTACTAATTCCTGTTGAAAAGAGACGAAATATTTACAAAAATGGGCCATGTACCAGGACACAAAGATTCCATAGAATCCCCAATATTAGTATGCTCTAGACCATCTTTTTTGACCACAATGCAGTCATATGAGAAATCAGTAATGAAGAAATCATTTTGAAAAACTAGTACATATTTGAAAATTTAAATAAGCATAGTCTTCAGTAATTTACAAGCTAAAATATATAACTGATGTTAGAAAATTAGAATATAATGAAATTAAAAATATTACTTATTAGCACTTAAGGAACATAACAAGTAGCACCTGATAATTTACAGAACCAAATGTGAGGAAAGAATTATTTTAGAAAAGGAGAACTACTAAAAATTAGTAAGTGCTTAGCTTCATTACAAAAAAAATCAAAACTATTAGTGGCTAAGAATGTAGCTCAGTTGTAGAAGGCTTGCATAGAATGCATGAGGTCTGGATTCAATACCCCGTACACACACACACAGACACACACAAATCATAACACAAAAAGTAGAAAAAATAAACATAAGAATAGAATAAAATGAAATAGAAAACAGGTTAAAAATGGAAAGCTGGTCAGACCCAGTGGCACATACTTGTAACACCAGAAATTCAGGAAGCTGAGGCAGGAGGATCCCAAGTTGACTATCTCAAAATAAAAAGGGTTGGGGATGTAGCTCAGGGGTAGAGTAACCCTGGGTTATTAAAATAACCATAATAAAAATAAATAAATAGATAGATAGATAGGAAAACTGAGTCTAAAAAAATAAAAACCTCAGTGTATTTCTAGAAAAAGGAAACTTAGATTCAAGGTGAAATAGACTCTGAATATACCTTTGGATGTTATATAACTACAAGCAATTAAAAAAAAAAAAGCCCATTCATGATTGATGTGGTTGGGCAGACTTGTAATCCTAGCTATTCCAGATGCTGAGGCAGGAGGATTCCTGGGCTATTTATTTATTTATTGGGGGTACTGGGGATTGAACTCAAGGGCACTTGACCATTGAGCCACATCCCCATCCCTATTTTGTATTTTATTTATTTATTTTTAAAAATTTTAACATTTATTTAAGTTTTCTGCGGACACAACATCTTTTTTTGTATGTGGTGCTGAGGATGGAACCCGGGCCGCACGCATGCCAGGCGAGCGGCTCCTGCTTGAGCCCCATCCTCAGCCCTACTATTTAGTATTTTATTTAGAGAAAGGGACTCACTGAGTTACTTGGCACCTCGCTTTTGCTGAGGCTGGCTTTGAACTCACGAGTCCTTCTGCCTCAACTTCCTGAGTTGCTGAGATTACAGGTGTGTGCCACCGTGTCTGATTCCTAGGCGATTCAGCAAGACACTGTCTCAAAATTGAAGAGGGGCTGGGGAAGTAGTCAGCGGTAGAGCCCTTGTCTAGCTTGGTGCGAGGCCTTGGGTTTGATCTCCAGTCCCATCAAAGCCATAACCAAACCCCTACTCAAAAGAATGCACCAGGTCCAGATGGTGTCATAGTCGGCTGAGCATTCCAGGATTCCTGCCTTACACAGACCACTCTGGAGAAAGTCTGATGTGAAGGGGAAAAGCACTGGACACATCAGTGAACCAGACAGGTAAGATCTGTCTGCATAGGGAACCCACCTTCTGGCAGGAAAAGAAAGATGCTGAGCAACAAATGAGTGGCTCAGTCTAGAAGCCAAGAGTGGCTTCAGGAGAAAGCAGATCAAAGTGAGAGGTGAAGGAGCAAGACGGTCTACACTGGAGAGAGGCAGGCTGGGAGAGGAAAGCAGCTAGGGTCTGGCTCAGTGAAATCCCGCCTTGTTGTCATGGAAACTAGTGGGGGCAGGGAGGAGTCAAGAGACAGGACAGAATCATGGTTGGGCAGCCGGCAGCCAGGGGGTCTTCTGGGGCATGCTGATTGAGGGCACAGGCCTGGGGCAAGAAGCCAGAAGGAGGGTAGGGTAGGATCTGGGTGGCCAAGCTGACCTGTGGGAGTGATAGAGAGGGGAAAGGGACAATCCCAGCCAGGCTGACGGAGGCGGACCACCAGGCAAAGAGGAGCCTCAGGGGTGAGGTGAGGCCACCTGGATGGCCTGAAGGTGGGATCCTGAGTGTGGAGGGCCCAGAACTTTGAGGTCTGCCATGCCTGGAGTGATCACTGAAGCACAGGTGGAAGGTCACAGGAGGTGACATTTGACAGTGGCCTTTGGGCCTGGGGGCTACTTCAGGGCAGAGGTCTGGAGCCTGTGCCCCAGGCCAGGCACTATTCTGGGTGCTTTGCCCCCAAGTCCCATGAAGCCTGCTGTGCCTGACAGTGTGGTGGGCAGTTTGGTGGGGAAGAAGTCGGGATGGCAAAAATCATGGTCTTCCGGGAACTTGGGTCCTGGTGGAAAAGTGGGGCCAGCAGAAGGGCCTAGTACCTGGTGTGGGCTTAGGTGGAGTGGCAGGGGAGCTGGGGTAGGGCAGGCCAAGGATGGCCCTGACTGGGAGGTGGGGGCTGTTCAGGAGGCTTGTGGGGAGGAGCCTGGGATCACTCTCAGCAAAACCAGGGCCAAGGCACCCAGCAGCTTTCTCCTTCAGAACCTTCAGGAAGACATCTGGCGTGCAGGACCCAGGCATTATCAGTTCTGCCATCTGCCACGTGGCAGGGGAACCCGAGGACCACGGATCTGCTATTCATTCATTATGCACCAGGCGCTGTGCAGAGCACATGCTTTGTGTCACCCTGGGCAGTGTGAGGGCCAGCTGAGGAGACCACTGGCCTGCAGGCTACCAGGCGTTGAAGCTGTGACCTGCCCTCCCCAAAGGCTTACACAGCAGCAGCTACGGTTCTAGGGAGCTGGCAGGAGAGGCTGCCAGGGCCCCCATGAGATCCAGTCTGGGCAGGTGGTCCAAAGGCTCTGGCTAGGGGGCTCTGGGTCCATCCAGGTCCATCCCTGCAGATTGGCAGGGAGCCAAGGAACAGCCAGGAGGCTCTGGACTGTTCTGCTGATGGTGGAGAAGGCCTTTCCCCTTCCAGTCCTACTGTGGGTAGCCTCTCCCATCCACCACAGCTGGCTGCACCCAGGGTGCTGAAAGGCTGGGTCAAGGGCTAGGGGAAATTTGTGTGTGTGTGTGGGGGGGTGGCCAGGGGGTGGGGGCCTGGGCCAACGGGCGGGAAAAGAGCAGGGCAGGAAGGCGGTGGAGACGCCAGGGGTGGACAGCCCTAGTTTCCTCTCCTGAGGTAAGCCGCAGGAAGCCCAGCCCTCCAGCTTCCCAAGGTGCTTCCTGCAGATAAGGGAGACTCCTGGGCCCCTTCCTGCTCCCTGCTCCCAGCCCCCTCCTCCCATCCTGTCTCCACACCAGGGGATCCTCAACTGCAGCACTCAGGCCACACCAGTAGCCTTGGGAGGGGCCTGCTAGGGCTTCACTTCCCTGTCAGGGAGGGTCCATCCAGGCTGGAGGGCAGGCAGACCCACAGACAGCGCTGGAGTCGCAGCTCGGCCGGTCACTGGTGTCCTGGGGAGGTAGAGCTTTCCTCAGAGGGCAGCGGAGAGGAGCAGGGAGCCCGTGGTCCCGGGGAAGAGATCCCTCCTCTGGCGGGGTTGGTGAGAACCCCCTGCCTGGCTCAGCTAGTGCTTTTTGATGGGGCAGGGGGAGTTAGGTGGATCTGTGGAGAATGGGGGCTTCCTTTGGGGTTTTCAATCACTCTTCTGTGTGGTGCCAGGGTATTTCTCAGATGGCCCAGTTTGCCACGGAGAGGGATAGGGAGGTTTTCGGTGTTCGGTGGGACTGGGCAGTCCAAGGTTATTCCTGGGAGCTCCAGAGTAACCAGCTTTGTGAGGGATCCAGGGCTGCTAGTGGAGAAAGTGGGGGAGGCTGGTGCTTAGGGGCTGTTTTCCACCAGAGGCAGAGGGCTTCCAGCCAGGCTGTTCCTGAAGGTGATCCAGTGGGTGCGTCAGGGGGTGAGTGGATCACTGCGGAGTCGGGGGGTTTTTTTTGGGGGGGGGGTGTCGGTGCACGTTTGCAAGGCAGGAATGGTCTCCAGGACCCAGGGCTGCTCGGTCCTCGGTCCTCGGGGATGCGCGAAGCGCTGGGGGCCTGGGCATTTCCGCGGCTGTGCTGTGCGAGGCCGGGGCTGGCACGCGCCACGCGGGCGGCGCCTGAGCTAGTTTCCTCGCTGCGCTCCCCTCCTCCGCCCACTCGGCCCTCCTCCCGCGTTGCCACGACAACGCGCGAAACTAAAATTCACTTCCCCGTCGCAGGTGGAGACTAGTGGCGCCCCCTCCCCTAAGCCCTTCTTGCAGGTCGCGCCCCCACCCTCCCGTCGCTAAGGTGACGGGGAAGGGGCGCCTGGCGACGGAGGGGGCGGCCGCAGATGGGGACCTGGGGGCCACAGTGAAGTCCCAAACTCCATCGCGGGGTGCCGCGGGACCCCGCTGGGCGCGGTCCGAAGGCTGATGCGGGGGATTCTTCCCGCGGGGCCGACTAGAGCCTACCCCGCTACCAGTCGATCCCATCGCTGGGGCAGGGTTGACCCCCCTAGTCCCCTCGGGGCCTGGAGTGGGGGTCGGCAGAGTGCAGAGAGGTCGCCATCCCGGAGGAATAATTCTCCTTGTTTCTTCCCCTGCCTGGCCTGTGGTCCTGCCCCGACGCGGCCCCCACCCAGCTCCAAGACCCTCTGCCGTCCCTCGCCCGGTGGTCCGCGACGCTCGCCCGCAGCGGAAGCGCGGCGTGGCCCTCGCCGCTCAGTCACTCCCCCGCGAGGGC